ATGAAGACCGAGAAGAGATACAATTGCTCTCTCTGTATGTATTAAGAATAAGCAGGAGCTAAAAGAACTGTTTAAAATTTCAAGTTGGTATAAGAATAACTGAGCTTAAAGGAGCTGTGAATAAATCTTTCCTAAACATGAAAAGAGGAGGGTGTGCAGCCCTCCCTTTTGTTTCAGTACGTGTTACTCCCAAGGGGTGCAGGCGGGACGGGGCAGTCTGCAGTGCTGCCATGTCCCGGCAGATGGACTGAGAGAAGAGGGGGCAACGGATCCTGAATAAGGCTGGGCACTGGTGTCATGGGAGGTGCACTGGGAGGTGAAACTGCGGCTCAGGGGTGGCCATAAAACACCTAGTGTGCGTGGTCACCATGCCGGGACCAGAGCAAGGGCGTGGGCAAGGCAGAATCATGAAAAATAAGCAGCTCTAGAGACAAGTGCAGTGCAGTGCAGGTTAAAGGTAGAGATAAATTCGCACCAGTGGAGACTGGAAACCGACTGTTACCAGTGAAGTAGCACTTCTTGCTGCTGCTGTGGTTGCTGTGCAGGTTTTCAGGGAGAAATGCTGCTGACTTGCAGAAATACGGAGGATGTAACAGAACTGAGAAACCTCCTGCTTTACAACTTGCTGTTTTTCTTGAATGCATTCCTCATTGACTTCACTCTCTATGATTTAATCTTCCTGTATTTTAAGATATTGCAATATACTTGATAAGACTAATGTGCTCTGAAGCTGAGGCATTCCCCAGTTGTAATTGATTACAGATGGAGAGCTTACCTTCCTCCTGGGTTGGTCTCTGAAACATTTTCTTAGTCTTAAAATATTCTACTTGGCTTCTCTTGAAGGGACAGAGGATGTTTTGTGCTTCCTTGTGGAGTCGTCAAGAAAAAAAGGACGGGTGGTTTGGGGCTGCTGCATTTGCATAACCCTGAAAGGTGGCTTTAACTGATGATAAATTTTGATCTAATAACTGTGACCAAACGATCACACATCAGACCCACTGCCACCTCTCTGGGATAGACAGCCATAACAGTGCATCTGCTTGCGGAGCGACTCTCCTCCTGCTGTTTCTCTCTCCGCTGAAAAGAGCAAATATCTACTAATCATAGAGAGACCCGAAGCAAAGGAAATCCCAGCCTGATCCCCAAACAGCAAGAAGGGCTCTGGTGCTTCCTGGTACATTCCTGGTGGAGCTCCCAGAAGTTCATTACTCCAGCCGTAGGCTCAGACAAGCAGCCCATTTGCTTGCAGAAGTGGAAACAAACGGTTGGACTCAATGATCTTAAGGGTCTTTCCCAACCTAAATGATTCTATGATTCTAAGCTGTACCAGCCGCCTGCTCAATGCGAGCGGCGGAGGTGGGAGAGGGCAGAGCCAGTCTGCCAGGCCACAGGAGCAGTGGTGATAGTGACGTGCGGGGACAAGAAGGTGGAGGAGGTAGTGAATGCTCCGAGCTGCTCTGTTGCTGTCTGGAGGTGCAGATTCATGAGAGAAAAGCTGGAGTTTTCTGCTTGTGATGCTGAGGTGTAGCTTCAGGACTCGGGGCAGGAGCTTTGTGAATGTGAATAATCTGGCATACAGGAGTAGGAAGTGAGGCGGTAATGGCTCGGTGTGCACGGGAAGAGAGGGTCAAGGCAGTCAGAAGGGACACTGAGCATCTTGCCAGCACAGCCAAAGCGCATCCAGCGTCCGAGGGCGGGAGAAGGCTTCTTTGCAGTAGTAGCAGGAATAAACCACCAGCGTCACAGCCGCTTCATGTAATCCTTCTCCAGATGTGGATCCTGCTCACAACGCTCTGCTTAAAATGCCTAAATGAGCACTCTGACAGCACAGTCCTGTCCGTGGGAACACAGGTGGCAGAAGCATTGCCTCTTTCTTACCGTCCTGCTGCAGCTCAGGACACTGCGTCAGCTGAAGGATTTCCAGGACAACTTGCCCACAAGCTTGGTTACACAGAGCACCTCTGCTTACCCAGTGAGGGGTGGCAAAAGAGAACTTCCCCTTACAACAGTCATAACGTGGTCCTGGCGCCAAAGCAAACTGAGCCTGCCAAGGCCTGGCTCTTCATGAGATCGTGCAGCCGGCTCACAGAGCCCTCCTGCTTGCTGGGCCATGCCAGCAGTGTGTGCTACCCAGGCTGTGCTACCCAGGGTGCTATTTAGGGTGTATTTTGTTGCCTTTGCCTTGTTGGGGCAATGGGAGCGAGGTGCCTGCCTCTCTCCGGCAGTTTTGAGAAATCTGCTCCGGCTCTTCTCCCCACTGCGGCTGCTGAGGCTGGAATGCAGCTTCCTTTGCCTCATTAGCTCTGTCTGTCAGTGGGGTGAGTCCCTCTCCTGTAATCAGTAACCGGAGCTGGTGTTGAAGACATGCCTCATCCCTCCTGCCCGTGTTGCTGTCGGACGGGGGAGCAGCACTGCACCGAGCGAGCGCTCTGCTAGTGCTCTTTGGGGGGGACGAAAGCCCATCCTCACCAGGGAATCCTCTTTCTCTGTGGTCTTGCATTCAACCACAAAACACTTGAGAGTACTGCCGCAGACACCACTAAGATCCATGGATCAAATGGGAGCCTGAATTCCCTTACATGTGGCTTTCTGCTTGGAAGGAGGAGTTTGTGGCAGTGCCCAGGGTATAGAGCAGCCTGGATGCTGAACAGCCAGAGGTTTATAGGTCTTGCCAGCAGCCTTGCAGTCAGTGCTTGAGCCAGACCTAGCCGTAATGTGAGAGACTGCAATTGTATTGCCCAAAATTTTATTATCCACCTCCTGTATTTAAATTCCTGCTCCACCTGTACCATTCACAAAGCAGATTTCCCCTTGCCGTCAGATAAGGCACTTGCATGTGGCCTGCGGTGAGGTTTTAGATGGTTCAAGTTTGCCTAGAAGTGGCTGCTTCCTCAGTTGCCAACCATACCAAGGGACGCAAGCAGGTTGTACTGGGTGAAATCAGTTGACTTCTCATACTGTTTGATGAGGCTTAAAGACATGAAAGATGGATTAGCTTGTGTCAGGCACATCAGGCTCCCTGGCGCTCCAGATAGGCTTTGAACAACAAGCCCAGCCAGATGTAAGTGAATGCATCGAGACCTGGTGTTCCCAGTGTGGCCTTTGTGCCAGCAGACAGCTGCTCACTGCCTGTTGGCAGAAGCACACACGCACACTTGGCTGCCTCTGCCGGGGCCGTGCATTCCTAGCAAGGGGCTATGTTGTCAGAAGAGACGCTGCTGCATGGCGGGGGCCAAGCCCAGTACCCCCCGCTGACATGGCACATGTAGACTGTTCCCAGCACATTGGGGGATCCTGGCTCTCTGGCTCCAAGGGACAGGCACACGCAGCCTTGCTCTCCCAGCTCCCTCTGCTCTGCACCACCAGTGCTCTCACTGCTGCTTTCTGAAATTCATGCTTTTTTCCTTTTACGAGCCAGCTTTCTTCCCAGTGCCAGTTTTCAGTTTCTGCTTTTATGCTAGCAGAAGCCAGGCACTGAGTTGTTCTGGGCAGCATCTTTTCAGTTTAGAGACGGAGTCTTCTGCGTTTTCAGAGTCCCAAAGAGCACCAGCACAGTTTACCACGTGTGACCCTGTTGTTCCTGGTGCTGGTGCGCTCTTTGCAGCATTCAGGTAACAGTGTCACTGGAAGCAGAGGAAGTCAAAGACTTCTTCTGAACACAGGTTACAAGATAAGACCTGCCTGAACTTCCCTTAGCAGCTTTAACTGTCGTCATTCCTGTGCACTGAGAGGATGGAAGTGCCTTGTAAATGCACAGTAGCAGCAAGAGATGTATTTCCAAAATGTGCTGGAGATCCAGAGGGGGACCTTCAGTTCCTTGGACCTCTTGGCAGCAGGCTCCACGCCATGACCAGAGCTGTCTGTGCCACACAGTCAGCAGTCATGGCTGAGAGCTGCTTGTTCTGGATAGGACAAGACATCCACAGATGACAGGAGAGCCACATGCACATGTGTGATGGGTGCAACAAGTGCTTTGCAAGGAGGTGCCCATGGTTTTGCAGTTGGTAAACTGGGTTTAGATACCCATGACAAAGTGCCCTCAGAGGGCTCATTGTGCTGGCGCTTTGTCGGTTGAGGTCATTTCAGGGAGGCTCCTGTAGAGTGATTTTATCATGGTCCAGATCATATTTAGAGCTCAGATTACCTGCTGGCCAGAGCACTGTGCTGGAGACCTGGATTCATTTACTGGGATTCTTGTCCTGTTGGGAAATTTTGGGGAAAGTTGCTTTTCCCTGCTCTGCCTTGGTCTCCCCAGGGGACGAACCACTTACTGCTTTCATTAAGTGCTTTAATAGTACCAGCACAGGGGGGTGATGGCAGATGCTCTGATCGCGGCTAAAGCCTGCTCTAGGGAACACATCTGGGTGGACTGACACCAGCTATAGCAATCATTGCTCTGAAGTGCCTGCCTGGGAGATGTGACCATTTCACCCTTCACATTGTATTAGTGTAACCTTTAGCTTGTGATTTCCTCTTGATAGGGCTAGCGGAGGCAAGAGCTGGCCTTGATGGGGCTGATCTTGGGGCTTTTCAGCTGCATGGACCCCCATGCATTCCCCAGAGACCTCCCTTGGCAGGGAGCTGTATGTGGGTACGACATGTCCTGCCACCGTGTTCTCTGCCAGCTCTGTTGCCCGGCACACATCACTGTTAATGATGCACTGTTGGACTCTTGTGCGCTGTGACTTGGGAGGGCACTGTAACCAGCTACATCTGCCCAAGGTACCTGGGTTGCCCAGATCTCACCACGCCAAAAAAACTTCACCCAGCCCATGGGGAGACCTCCTACCTCAGATGCACAGGTTTGACCCAGCTGGCTGTATCGGCTTTAGATAAGAGAAGGCCCTTGGTCTGCAAGGGCTCTTCTGGTCTGCAGTGGGGTCTGTCTTCTTGGCAGAAGCCACTGCCCTGCCCCAGCTGGAATCTCCCGCAACGTGGAGAATGGGAGCATGCTTGGCCAGGATAGCTGCTCACCTCCTGTCTTTCCCATTTCCTTCCAGTCCTGGACGCACAATATCCAGCGGGAGAAGGAGTTCCTGCGGAAGCTGGTGAAAGCCCGAGTCATCACTGACCTAACCAGTGGGATTTGAGTGGCTGCAGCCACTGCCTCCAAGGGAGGAGACAAAGACACACGCTGCAGCTCTGGGAGCAGGCACTGGCAGCCCCCCCGCAAGAATCCCACCTCACTGAAGACACACAGAGATGCCCAGGTGCTCTGGGAAGACCCTCTCACATTGCCAGTCTGCACGAGGGTTGCATCTGCTGCCTCCGGGCTTAGAGCTGGCAGGAGGTGGGCAAGGGACTGAGTGGGCTGTTCTTGAACTCTGCATCGCAGACGGATATTCTGTGTCCTGAATTAAACAGGAAAGACTCAGGAGAGAGAAGAAAGGTTTGTGAATAAAACGATTTGTGCCAAATGGGAGGTGACGCTGCCCCGAGGCAGCAATGCCTGAATGTACAAAGTATTATTTTTTAAAAGAAACTCTGCTGGAATCATACTAGAAATACCAAGGTGCAAGGCAAAGTCTGCTTGTGCACAGCCCTGCGAAAAGCCTGGCCTCTCCATGCTCCACCTGTGTTGTCACCGGCCTCAGACCTTTCCCCAGGAAAACAAATCCGTCCAAAAGTTCAGTGTCGTTGGTGCTGCTATAATTTGAAGGGAGAATAATGGCTTTCCCTCATTCTCCACTTGGAGCTTCTGGATGGAGATGAGCATGGGTTTGTTTTTCTGCACTTTTCCTTGCTTCCCGCATAGAGGCGGCAGCAGCAGTCACTTACTTGGCTGCATTTTCCATAGCCGTTTGCCCTGCTCTGCCTCTGCCCTGACCCCAAGGTGGAGCGGGGAGCTGATGGCTTTCTCTGCCTGCAGCAGACCCTCCCCACCTTCCTGCCGGTCACAGCGCTGAGGAACCTGCCTCGTTGTGCTCAAGGCTTTCAGGCCTCTTGGTTTGTGCCTGCTGTGCAGGGCCGCCGTGGAGTCCGTGCAGATTGGTGTCACCATTTCTAGACAGCATCTCGCTTTATTTTTGTGTGGGAGAGGAGTAATTTATTCTTTGGAAGGAGGTCAGATCTTGCACAGAGATCTGAAGCTTTACAATTCGAGAGCAGGCCACCGAAGATGTTTGTTTTACTTTCCAGACTCAATCATATTCCCTATTTAAGCGATGTGTGACCTCAGTGATGATGGAGCCTGCTGGCACGGGTGGGGGCCTGCTGGGAACCCTCACCTTCTGCTCGGCCCCTGCTCACTTCGTTTCCAAGCTCCTCCCGTGCTGCTCTAGCACTGCTGCTCCTCCTGCTCTCAGGAGCACGTCCCTTCCTTTGCCGTCTTGGTCCCAAGATGCAGTATTTGCACATTTGATTTGTATACGTATTTCAGAGGAGCTGGAATAAACTGAGCAGCGTGGCCGAGTGTGAGGACAGCGGGGTGGTCTCATCCACCTGGAGAGCCTGGGCAAAAGGGAGATTGCCAGGGGAATGGTTACAGGTGGAAGTCGGCTCCCATGCTCTCCTAGCCTGGAGCAGGCTGGACTGCGCCCATGGGCACTGTCCCGAGCCGAGTCCCTGTGTGTTGGGGCACCGGTGTGCTGCCAGCCAGTGCCGCGGTCAGTGGAGGGGGGATCCCGGGAGGATGCTGGCTGGGCTCATGGTCCTGGTGCTGCATCTGATGCAGTCCAAGGATTGCAGTCTGCCTTGCTCTGAGCTGAAGGGAGAACGTGGCCCTAACATGGACAAGGGATGCTCAGAGCAGGGCTCGCGTGGTTCCCCCTGGGCTGCCTCTGTTCCTG